GTTTTGCTTTGCTTGCATACATGACTTTTGCTTTAGTTATTAAACTGTCTTTATCTCAACCCACGGGTTTTCTCACTTTCACTTTTCCAATTCTCTCCCCCATCCCACTGGCGGGGAGGGAGTGAGCGGCTGCGTGGGGCTGAGTTGCTGGCTGGGGGTAAACCATGACAAGCACTCAAACATGTTCTCCTTTCCCTGGGTGGCAGGAATAAACCAGGAGACAGGTTTTAGCCCAAGGGCTTGACACACGCTATGAAAAACTCTGGGGATGTCTGTGAATAATCTTCTGAAAAATAAGGTCAAGCATGTTAGGGATAAAGTTCAGATCATAGAGCTACTTAAATGGGAGGGAATAAAAAAAGATGCAAAGAGGAGGAGCAGCAGCAGCTAAGATTACGCATATGTGCCGTGAAGAACATTGAGATCAAGTCTGAAGGAGGTGTGGACATTTCCTGCTTTAGAAGCAGCTTTGGAGAAGAAAATAAAGGTCTGTCTTTTCACCCACCCAGGGTAGATGTTTCAAAGGATGATTGGCTTTTGGGATAAAACTTCCCAGAATGGTCAGAAGCATGGATGCTTCCAAGATCACTGGCTATTTTGTACTTCAGAAAATATATTTCATGCAACCATAAAAACTGGTGCAAGCATCCCAAACGCTGCTAAAGTAAAACTCTGGCTCAATGCAATGTCCTGGTACAGATTCAATCTCCTCAACAGCTCTACTGAAAATTGAATGTGATTGGGATGTAGGCCTGTGGTTTGAGTACCGGCTGGAGAGGTGTCAGAAGAAAAACACCAAACAATGAATGAAGGTAAGAAATGCTACTTTCCATGTAGGTTTTACAAACCATGAATGAAGGGAGATAAGGGAGATACCTTCGATCTCAAGTGTCCCACCTGCAGCACTGACCTGGAAACACAGTAAACAATACAATCTGAAAAAGTCAAGAGAGGTCACAGAAACAGCTCTGAAATCTCAAAAGATGAGCTGGAAATGAAACAGGATTCAACCAAGCAGGAAATCAGAAATGGTAGACACAGACACAGGTCCTACAGACTGCAAAAAACCCCACAGCTGTACAGACATGTACTTTCTGCCGGCAGTAGCAACAGAGAAAGCCCCTTCTGTGGTAAGCTGTAAGTGCAGCCCTGGGGGAAACGATGTGGCACAACCCTCAGCATGCAGGACGGGGGATCTCTGTCCACATCACTGCGTTGCTCAACTCTGACTCTCAGACAACGCACACAGCACACGTTTGGTGATATCAGCTAAGCACTGGTTTCTGTCACATGGTCTCATGCCTTTCCAGGTAAAAAGAAGAGTTTGAGTCAAAGGAGTGATGCTGGGCTGGCCACCCACACACCCTCTCCTCCATACCCAGGGCCTGGGCGAGAGAATGTGCTTCAGGAGGGACAGGGAATGTGTGACTGTAAGGGTGAGCTCTCCTCAGCTCCTTGGAGCCAGTCATTTTAAGGTAAAAAGGAGGAAATCAGGTTTCAAGATGCTTCTGCACTGGAAACCAGCTCAGGCTTGAGCAATATTGAACTATTTGCACTTGCCTTTATTTTCTTTCCATGAGCCACATACTGCAGGCAGCACAGGGAGTTGCATCTTTTGGGTGCAACTTCTCCCCTCTGTCAATCTGGCTTCTCCCAAACCCCTCATCCTCCTGCAAACTCCCCATCATCCTCGACATTTCCCAGGTTTAAAGCACAGCCATGCTGCTGGAAGAAGAAGAGTCAAAGAAGACGAGCCTAAAGAAGCGAAGCTGCCGGGCAGGAGAGCCTCAGCTGAGGATGGAAGGAGCAGGGCTCAGGCAGGCTCAGGCAGGGCCTTGCAGCAGATCTGAGGCAAGCCCGGCGTCAGCACCCTGCCGGCTGTTCCCATGGCTACACGGGAAGATAAATTGAGTTCAAGGAACCTCGTGTCGCTACATTATTTAACAAACAGACAGTCACGCTCCGGAGGAAAACACAGGCAGGGACCCAGTTTAGCAGCTGCGTGGGCTGATCAGACCCACGGATGGCCGAGTGCCTCACGGTGTGGAAGGGCCAGAACCAAGCACAGCCCGAGCCAGGCAGGGTGTTAGCCACAAGGAGAGTCCAGCATGGCCACAGGAGAGCCATGCTGGCCCTGCAGGGCCACAGCTGTTTGTCCAGAAACACAACCAGACCTTGCACCTGACAGAGCCCTGGATACCTGCCCCATTTATGAGAGAATCCAAAGCCTGGCTTCAGGAAAGGAAAGGCCACCCCACCTGCCAGTCTGTGCTCTGGCCCAGGCCTCAAAGGCAGCACTGGGCAAAGAGGAAAGGAATGTGGGCACAAAGAAAAGCACAGGAGGAAAAAAGAGCATGGAGGAGTTATAGGGGTGCTGGGAGAGATGAACAGGCTTTGAGGGAAAAGGCATTGATGGAGCTTCTGTTGGAAAAGTGGCTCAGAATGGCAGCAGTGAGGAGAAACAAGAGGGGCCTGGGGGGGAGCTGAGGGAGGGAAAACAGGAGCAACAGGAGGGCTCTGGCCCCATGAGTGCCCGAGCCAGCGGGGGATGAGCAGGACTGCTCTCCCCACACGGCTTTTTCAGTGCTCTTTTGACCCAGCACCCTTCCCCTTCACCAAAATCCCGCAAGGATGAGCAGAAGGTGACCCAGATAGCTCTGTGATGCACCAACCAGCGGCAGAGGGCCACGATTCTGGGATTCTGTGAGATGCCAAGGTCCACAGGGCCGTTCTGAGGGACCCTTCCCTGGGCAGGCAGTGGGGACACGTGCGGGACACAGCCAGGCCAGCAGTGCCACCGTGTGGGAGCGGGTCACCTCCTTCTGCCAGGACACCGAGGGCTCCTGCAGCGTGAAAGAGAGCAGTTGGAAACACAAACACACATACAACTATAAATAAACTCAGCTCTCACCCTCCCCCCATTCCGAAACGTAAAAAGAATGAGAGACTTATCCAGAGAAATTTTCTCAGCCAGAAACCTGCTCCTTGCTGGAAGCCAAAAGACTGTGTTGTCTCTCAAGTGATTTTCAATAATGCCCAGAAAAATAACTCTCTTTTACCAGGCACTGAAGCGAGACTGACAGGACTGTACATACCAGGGTCTTTCTTCTTGCTCATCTTGAAAACTAGAACTTTGGCCAGCTTTCAGTGTGCAGGGACCTCCCCAGGCTCCCAAGACTTGAAAAATAATGGAGAGAGATCCTGTGATGACAGGCCCAGCGTTTTCAGTACCCTGGGATTAACCCCATCGTGCCCCAAAGATTTATGTGCATCCAGCTGGAGCAGCAAGCCTCAAACACATTCAGTTGTGGCTGGGAGTTTATCGTGGCCTTCATCACAGTCCTCCAACACAGAGCTCCAGGGGTTCAGGGCCCATCTGATGCTAATGACAGAGGTGAAGAAGGCATTAAACATCTCTGCTCTGTCCATGTCCCTGCTTGTGAGGTGTCTGGCCTCATAAAGTGTAGACTGATGTTATCTCTGAACCTCCTTTTGCTGTTAGCATGTTTTAACAAGTCCTTTTTCCTGTCTTTCACAGCGCTGGCAAGCTTGAACACTAATCAAGCTCTGGCCACATAAAATGTTGAACAGCGTCTCCCTATTTTTCCTGTGTAACCGTCCTTGTTTCCAATGTGCATACACTGGGCCTTCTGTTCCCCTCAGGAATGAGTCCCTGTGACAATAACCTGTCTTTTTTTTCTCCACAGGAGCGATTTTGGTATGGAATGCAGGTCAACTTGACCTTGTTGATACCTCCAACCTCAGTGGAGCAGAGTCCTCAGCACTGTTCTGCTTGCAGAGCCTGGTATCTCTGACCCAAGGGCACCTGAGAAGGTGGGGTAATCCCAGAGGAGTGCACAGAGAAATGCAGTTTAACCCTTGTGTGCAGCACAGAGCGCTAGGAACAGCTGATTCCAAGGGAAGACACCAGCACAGTCAGGAGTTACAAGGAAACAGTGTTAGGAGAAGTTCTCTCTAGGCACCACTGTCCATTTGCGTTGGTGTCCTGAAGCACAAGGTAAAAATCCGGCATGTAGGGTTTAGAACAGAAATGTAGCTATCATTTTTCTGGCAGCCACAAGTACTGCACAGGTGTTTTCACTGACCTTTCCAACATCTTCATAGGTCCCCATCCTCTACAACACTGCTAGCTTTGACATTGCTTCCTTCTCTGTTGAGAAGTACCTTTATTATCTGGTTTCTAAGTTATAAAATTTTACTTCTTGGCCTCCAGAGCCAGCTGGCTTCCTTTCTACTTGATGATAAAGGCTATCTTATCTGGCTTTATGGAATGCTGAACTTCAACAGCTAACAGCCATCAAGGTATATGAACTGGTTCCACCCTGGAATTTGTTGATCAGAGAAAAAAATTTTCCTGCAGTAATATCCAGATAGTTGTCCAAACTCTAGCAGTTCTTCCTGCTTAGCATTTGAGCTGAAATTTTTGGTAAGGAAGCAAAACTTCATGTTCTGCAACAGGTCAGAAGTTCTCAACAGGAAATTAATTTTTCTATCAGAAGTTTTGCCATTGGAATGTAAGCCAATCAGCCAATTTAAGTAAAACACATCCAATTCTCTAAAAATTACCTAATTGAAATGGACAGATTCCTCTGGAATGAAAGGCTGTTACTTCAAACAGGAAAAAAGAGGTCAGGCGGTGATCAAAGAAAGCAGGCACTAAAGAAAGTTCCTAATATTGCCTGTTTGAACGAGACGTGTATTGGCGGGTACGTGTTCCTGTCCTGCACACCGGCCCGGTGTCCCCTGTCCCGCACCCCGCTCCCGTGTCCCCTGTCCCAGCCCGCTGTCCCCTGTCCCGCACTCCGCTCCCGCAGTCGCGTCTCCCGTCCCCACAGCAACGCCGACACGCCCCGCCCATTCAGGCTCAACAGCCAATCGAAGCCGAGAGCCCACGAGTGGCGGCCGCCATGACCAATGGCTGCACAGGGCGGTCCTGGGCGGGGCGCGGTGACGCCATCGCGGCGCGCGCGGGCGCGGAGCCGCCGCCGCGCCGCCGGAGCTCGGCCCGCGCCGCCGCCGCGCCATGAGCCAGTTCAGCTTCGGGGCGGCCGCGCCCGGCGGCGCCTTCAGCCTGGGCGCGCCCCGAGCCGCCCCCGCCGCCACCACGGCCACCAGCGGCTTCTCCTTCTCCGCGCCGGCGCCCGCCCCCGCCTCCACCGGCTTCAGCTTCGGCGGCGCGGCGCCGGCGGCGGGCGGCGGCCAGCCCGCCGGGCTCTTCTCCTTCAACAGGCCGGGCACGGCCGCGCAGCCCTCCGGCTTCAGCTTCGGCTCGGCCAGCGCCGCCCCCGCCGCCCCGGCAGCCGCCGCCTTCCCGCTGGGGTGAGAGCCGGGGCCGGGTGGGGACGGACGGACAGACAGAGGGACAGAGGGACGGACAGGCAGAGGGACGGAGGGAGCGGGGTCCTGTCGTGCTGGGCTCTGCGGGGAAAGCTGCTCGGAGCGAGCCTTGGCCCCTGTGCCCGGCTCTCCCAGCCCCTGCGGTGATCGCTCATCGGGCGGGTGCCCCGCGAGCCCGGGCACTGCCCCGGCCGGTGCTTGCATGGGCAGCGCTCACGCTGCGGGCGAGCAGATGTTCCGCCTTTCCGGCTGGAACTGGGCTGGAGACGCGAGCGCACAGAAATGCTCAGGCTCTGCTGCCGGATAGCAAACGTCTCGTGCTTTCTGACCCGAATCTGGAGTGCTCGGAATGCTTTCCCGGCGCTTTGCGAGGGATTTGCCGTTCAGCAAAGGCTGCGAGTTCTGGAGCGGTTCTGCAGAAGTGCTGCTGGCAAAGCTTGCCAGATGGGAGCTGTGGGAAGGGAGCTCAAATGGGGACGAGCAGGAAAAAAGCAGCCTTGTGTAGCGGGAGTGGAAACGGTGAGCTGAGAGAAGGAGCAGCTGCACGTGTGCTGCCCTAAAATGCCCTGTGGCACCGGGGTGGGTAATGAAGGGACAGTCAGTAGGAAGAGCCCTAAGGGGGGATGGCAGGTGACAGCGGCTGGATGGAGTCTGTTGTCAGAACTGGGACACAAGCCTGGCCAGGTGTGCATCTCTCTGGAAGGAGGTTTCTGCTGTCAGCAAATGGTCAGGGAGAAAGCCAGCTGTGTACTTGGGTGGATGTGTGTCTCAAGCGGGATTGCTTTTTTTCTTTTCTTTTCCTCCCTAGGGCAAACACTCCCAAAGTGACCTTTGGAGCCAGCACTGCCACTCCAGCTCCTGGAATCACGGGGGGCTTTTCTTTTGGCACCCCTGTGGCAGCCAGCACACCCTCGAGTCAGGCAGCAGCCCCGTCTGGCTTTGCCTTTGGCTCTGCTGGCAGCAGCAGCAGCAGCACGGCTCCCTCTGGGACAACAGGAGGCTTCACCTTCTCCAGTGGCAGCACGGCTCAGGCGGGCACAGGCGGGTTCAGCATCGGCACCGCGGCTCCGCAGGCCACGTCGGCAGGGCTGAGCTTCGGCACGGCCCCCGCGGCTGCTGCCACCACCAGCACGGCCACCCTGGCAGCTGCCACCCCGGCAGCAGCGCCCTTCAGCCTCGGGGGACAGCCCACAGGTGGGTGAGCAGCCTGGGGGCTGTGGGATGTCACGCTGGGACACAGGCACACAGTTTGGGGTCATTGGGACGGGCTGGCCCAGCCTCATCCCCAGTGGCACAGCTGTGAGCAGCACTGACAGCAGCGAGCCATGGAGTGCCCAGGGGTGCTGAGCACCCACCAAAGGGAGCAGAGGGCACACAGGGGCAGTGCATCAACATCAGGGTGTAAAAGGCTGGGCTGAAAACAAGAAGAGCAGATGCTTGCAGACTTGTCTGGTGGTTTGGTGTTACTCTGTGTGGGTTGAACCCTTCCGACATTGTCTGGTGGTGCTCTGTGTGTTGTGGCTGTCTCAGCTGTGACATGTGCTGTGACACAGCCTTGGGGGGCAGCTGGAGGCTGGAGCCTTTGGCATGGGCACATCTGAGGGTGCAGTGGGGGAGAGGCTCTGCAGCCTCTGCCTTGTGCTGGGCCAGAGTGGAGCGAGGGGCTGGAGCCAGAGGTGTTTGTGTCAGGCCTGGCCAGGGCCTGCAGTGCTGGGCAGCAATTGCTCTTCAGGCTCTAGGAAGGAAATCCATCTTTTCCTTTTGCTCTGGTTCCAGGTCTAACCTTTGGGGCACAGCCTTCGACAGCAGCCACCAGTACAACCACAGCAACGCTGACCACAAGCACCAGCCAGGCACCCACCCTGTCCTTTGGATCCAAGCTGGGAGGTAGGAAGCTCTTCTAGAAAACAGTTCCTTAAGGATTTGGGCATTCTGCTCTCCTCCTGGCAATAGCTGTCTGTTGGAAGTAGACAAATATCTTATACTGGGGTGTGGGGAGGGCTGTGGGTTTGCCCTGGCAGTGGGATCTGTGACAGCTCCTAGAGCCATTGCACAGTGTGTGCTGTGGTTCTGACTGTGTCCCACATGCCAGATCCTGTTCTGTGCCTGTTTGGGGGGCACAGGGGAAGGGAGACACAATATTAAAGGGGCACCGTGATCCAGGTGTGGCTGGGCAGCTGGTGTCACCCTCCCAGCAGGGCTGTTGTGCAGGGGGTGGGAGCTCAGTGTGCTCTGCTTGTCCACCTGGAGCTGTTTGTCCCTGCAGTCACATCCACTGCTGCCACCACGGCCTCCACCACCAGCACCACCTCAGTGCTGGGCTCCACGGGGCCCTCCTTGTTTGCATCTGTGGCAACTTCTTCAGCCCCAGCCTCCTCCAGCAGCACGGGCCTCTCACGTGAGTCTCTGCAGGCAGGTTTGTCCCTGGGGCAATAAAGGGGCAGCAAGGCTGCTGCTGCCTGGGGCTGCTGCTGCTGCAGGGGAGGGGGAGCAGGCTGGGCACAGCTTTTCCAAGGGCCCTGCATTCCATGGCTCATGCAACCTGTTCATGCTGTCTTCTCTTCACAGTGGGTGCCACCTCCACTGGTTCCACTGGGACAGCAGCCAGTCTGGGGACACTTGGCTTTGGATTAAAGGTTCCTGCAACCACGGCTGCCACAACAAGCACTGCCACAGGTAGGAACAGGATGCTGAAAGTCACTGAAGAGAAAGGTGACTGAACTCAGTGCTTTGTCCGGGTGAAAAGGGCCGTGTCACAGCAGCTGTGACTTGTAAAGCCCTCAAGTAACTGAAAACAGCACAGTCTCTGTTCTTCTGACCCTTTTCCATCTCCTTGTGAAAACATAGAAGTTCTCTCATCCACTGCAGAGGTGCAGGGGAGGAGCTGGGTGTGCTGGCAGTTGTTGGTTCTAGCAGTAAAACATGGGGCTGTTCACAAGGCTGTGGGCTGGGGATGTTTTCATTCCCTCCTTGACTGCTGTAGATCTGCTGCTGTTCCCTTCATGGGGATCCAGTGCAGCTCCTGCAGCCATGGGCAGTGCACCCTGGAGCTGCTCTCTGTTTGAGAGGTACCAGCTGTGTCCCCTTCTGCTGCTTGACTGGAAGCTCTTCCTGCAGGGACTACTTCTGCTTCGGGCTTTCCTTTGAATCTGAAGCCATTGACTACCACGGGTGCCATTGGAGCTGTGACCTCCACAGCTGCCATAACCACAACCACCACACCCAGGTGGGTTTTTGTTACCCTTGACCCTTTCCTGCCTGGCCAGGAGCAGCTGCCGTGCTCAGGCTGGGTCTGGGGGAGGAAGGGGAAATCAGTGAGCGTTGTGGTGGTTGTCTGTCCTGACCTCGTGTCCTGTGCTGCCCCTCACTCCTCTCAGTGCCCCCCCAGTGATGACTTATGCCCAGCTGGAGAGTTTGATCAACAAGTGGAGCCTGGAACTGGAAGACCAAGAGAAGCACTTCCTGCATCAGGCTACCCAGGTCAATGCCTGGGACCGCATGCTGATAGAGAATGGAGAGAAGGTGAGGGGGCCTCCACTGGAACCTCGTTCTGCTTGCTTAGCTCCTTCAAGGGCTCTGCTACAGCTGCAGCAGGCATCTCCAACAAGGGGCTTTGTGCTTGTGAGAGACACAGCTGCGAGCTCCCCCGGGTGCTTTTCAGTCTCTCTGTGTGTGTCTGTTCTGGCCTTTAGGCCTTGGAGCTGCCAGTCTGTTCAGTGCCTTTGCTCTGTGACACCAAGTTCTCCTAGGGGACATCATTCCAAGCTTATTCCATCATTGGGATGGAAGAGCTATAAGGAATAAGGCAGGATCATTCCTCCCTTATTCCATCTTGCGTCTGTAAATCTTTCTGTGGCCATCTCTTGTTTCCAACAGAATTTGCTCTCTTCTGCTTTCTCCCTCCCACCTCTCTTCTTTGGACAGCTGACTTCTTTGTTTTCAAGGTGTAATGAAATGTCTTCTGTTTCCAGATTACTTCCCTACACAGAGAAGTAGAGAAGGTGAAGGTTGACCAGAAGAGGTAGGAGACCATGAGCACTTGAAATGATTTTATTTCTTCTCTGCCTTCTCCTGCCTGGTTGTGGGACAGCTCTGCCATGTCTGCAACATGAAAGGGAAGCAGTTGGCACTTTCTCTCTGCAGACTGGATCAGGAACTGGACTTCATTCTGTCCCAGCAGAAGGAGCTGGAGGACTTGCTGACCCCTCTGGAGGAGTCTGTGAAGGAGCAGAGCGGGACCATCTACCTGCAGCACGCCGATGAGGAACGGGAGAGGACGTGAGGCACAGACCTGCTGGGGATGGGGGATGAGCACGGGCCTGTGCTCACAGCAGTCAGCAGGAGATGGGCTTGGGATGGGAGACAGGATTGAGCTATCAGGGCTGCTGTCAGATAGTTAATCCTGTTTTGTGCTTGGCAACTTTGAAGAATTTACTCTTTAGAACAGTGAATGGAGACCCTTGAATCAGCATGAAAACCTCTTTGGATATTGGTGTAATCAGCTGTCTGGGAAGAGGTTACTAATTTTGGCATAATCTTGGAAAGTTAATGGTTCATCAGTGCCAGCACTGGTGAGACCAGGGAACTATGTGTGGCACAAGTCCCTCGTAAGGCTTTAGAGATGCATCATGGCAGGGTAATTAAAGGCAGTGTTTGTCTGGTTCAAGAGATGGAGAATCCTGAATCCAGGCTTGCTCCTTCCTTCAGTTCCCACAAATCCTTGCAGGAAGTCCTTCACTCTCCTGCTTGTCTGCAGATCCAAGGGAGACAGGGGTTTGGGAGGAATCTTCCTCCTCACCTTCAGTGGCACTGTCCCTTCTGGGCTTGAATGCTCCTGCTCTGCCTGACAGAGACCTCTGCTCAGAAGTTACTGTTTGAGTTTTACCAAAAACACTCTGCTTGCATGTTTTTCTCTGTCCTGCAAGCAACACTGTGCAGGGTTGTGTTCTGGGTGACTGTGACATTATTCCCTTGTTTCTGCCACAGCTGTGCTGCAGAGGAAGGTGGAAGAGGTGACCAAGGTTTGTGAGAGTCGCCGCAAGGAGCAGGAGCGCAGCTTTCGGATCACCTTTGATTGAAACGCTCCCATGTTCAAAGGATGAATATAAAGCCTACACAAAATGTAGAGGTGTTAGAGGTGTGAAATGATGACCTGGCTTTTGTTTCTTTTCTTGAAATAAAATGTGTTGTTTGTTCCCAAAGGTGATCTTTGTTGTGTTGGACAGGAGTACTGCCTGAAGTTTGTGGGGGAAGTGTGGTCTCTGTGCTTTAGCTGTGCCTGTAGACTGGTGAGATACAGAAATGCTGCTTTGGAGGGCTCAGGGCAAGTGTCTGTGTCCAGGGGAGCCAGCAGAGCTGGGAGGCTCCCAGGACTGAAGTGTGGACACAGTCCTGCAGCAGCAGAGTACAGCACACTTGGCTCTAGAAGTCTTAGGACTATAAACATCAATAAGCACACACTAAGGAAATACCACAAAAAGTGCATTTATTTACCTGGCCTCTTCCCTCCCTCCTTGCCACAACAGCTTACGGGCACAGCCCAGCTCTCAAGAACAGCTCAGTCCCCAGCTCTCCTTTCCCACTCTGAGATTGCTGGACCTGCATGTTGGCTCCCAACAGTCCTGCACAGTCCCACGTTCAGCCACAGCTTACTGAACTCCACAAGGCTGCTGGTTCTCCATCCTTCACGTGGCAGGAGCGTTCTCTGCAGCAGAGGAGCTGGGGCTGGCAGAGTCAGCCTCTGGCACATGCTTCCTGCTTTTCCCAAAGGCGATCACCAGGGGCTTCCCCTGCAGCTTGTACCCGTTCAGCAGCTGCAGGGCCCTCTGGGCTGACTCTGTGTCTGCAATGAGAGGGCACAGTGGGCACAGGGCCCCTGCTGCCATGGGGACACAGGGTGATCCTATGGGTGTTCCCAGCTGATGGCCACTCAGCCTGCTCTGACATGCTGAATGAACACTGCACATGACAGACTGCATCACTTCTGATTCTGGTAAATCCCCTTCCACCCCAGGGAAAGAAGCATGGCGCAACAGGAAGAGAAGGCAGTGAATTCCCCTTGGAAAGCGGGCTTGGCAACAGTGCCCTGCAGGAGGATGTGACACCTTTGGGAGTCAGGGAAGAACAGAGAGGCAGAGGCAGTAACTCACCAGGGAAGGTGATGAAGGCCTGATCCCTCATGCGGCCGCTCAGGAGGCGGAACTGGATCAGTGGGCTGTCCTCCTTCTGGAACCGAGCAAACAGGGACACCAGGTCCTTCACTGTCACTCGGGGGCCCAGGTTCTTCAAATACAGCACCTGTAACAGGGACACATGGGGTCAGCCAGCCTCTGCCATGCAAAGACACCTTTCAGCCTGTCCCAAGTCTGTACAGCTCAAGGTGTGAATTAGCTCAACCCTCACACCCACATGCTCATGATGGCATTTAGAGGACAGGTGGGTGTACAGAGAATGGCAGCTCTGAACTAAAGGCATCACCCTGCTTGCCTGCATCTAGAGCTGACAGTTTTCAGTTTATTACAGAACAGTTCTGTTTATTCAGTTCATTCCATTTATTTATAAAAAGCAGTACTCTCCAGCTACCAGACAGGAACAGTCTGAGTAAGGTGACACCAGGACTCAGCCAGGCTCAAACAGAGCACACCTTGACAGGTGAGCTGCTGGAGCCAGGCAGGGCTGGGCTCACAAGTACAACTCTTTGCCAGGCTGGTGCCTTCCCATCAGAGCCCAAGGTCCCTTTTCTCCCCAGAGTGGAGGCTGCTCTCCCCCTTGGCCTGGAGGATCAGCCCAGCAACTTCAACGCAACAGCAAAGAGGAGCCTTTGCCTACTGACATGGCTTCAGGCATCCTGCTGAGCAAGGATAAATCCTGGCTCATCTCAGCTTACCCTGTTGGGCTCCCCTGCATGGTAGGATGAGAACCTGGGAATTTTCCGGAGTTCTTCCTCTGAGAGGCGGTTCTTGAGGATCTCCTCTTCTGGGACAAACTCCACTGGCTCTTTGATAACCACAGGCCTTGGAGGGGACTGCTGGGGCTTTGTTGCAGAAACACTGGGACTTGCTGCCTGCTCCTCCTGGTCTGGAAGTGATGATTCCTCAGTCCCAGACCCCTGTGGGGTCGGGGACAAGCAGGGGTCACTTGCAGCACACTGGACTTTTTCAGGGCACTTCTTGCTCAGCAGCTCTTGGTAAACACTCTCCAGATGAACCATGGGGTCTTTTTCATCTGTTCCCCCCTTCTGAGTGTCATCTAATTCGTAACACAGATACATGGTAACTATCACCACTAACCTGGAAAACACACAGCCTGAAAGAACAGACACAGAAAGGAGAAACCCTGCTTCATCCCAGCCCATTCAGGTTGTTTTAAACAAGAGCAGCCTGGCTGCCCAGCTCAGGATGAACCTGCAGAGAGCAGCAGCTCCACCTGTGCTACAGCACAGCTCTTTTCAGAGATGCCCTCTTGCTTATCTTAACTTGCTTATCTGCAGCCACATTTCAGCACTTTCTAGTGACTCCTTCAACACACCTTCCTCCTCCTGCATGTACAGCAAGGATGGGCCATGCTGCCTTCCAGTACCTACCTGGAATAGGAATATTAGGCTTTCAAGGACATCAGATCAAGCTCCTGGGTTTAAAGAAAGTCCATGACGTGGACTGATCAATGATCTCTTTTAATTCTCTTTAATGGAAATGAGGACAAATGTGAGAGCAGCATCTTCCAGCCTTCACCTGGATCCAATTCCACTTCAGGGGTGAGGCTTTAACAAGTCATTCCTCCTCTTACCTGCTCTGTGCCTTTGCTTCCCTCATCCCCTGCAGTTACCTCAGAGAAGGAACAACCTCCAGTCCCCCTCTGTGTAACACAGACCTCGAGGCTTTACACCCCAGCTCCTCTCCCACACCCCGAGCTGCTCTGCACTACATGCAACACCTCAAGGAGATCCAGAAATGCACTTTAAAAGCCTCTATATTAAACCCTCCAGAGAACCAACTCTGCCTGCTCCTGTAAGACAGGAAAATATCTCCTCCCACACAGCACCAAAGCAGAACCCCATCTTCAGGGACAGAAGGCCAGACAGAAATGTGTTGGGCTCCCACACGGGCTGGCTGCGCGTGCTGCAGCCGAGGCGGGAAGAGCCCTGAGGGCAGACCTTGGTGGTAGAGGGCCCGGAGGAAGGAGTGGCGGTCTGTGCCCTGGAAAAGGGCCTGCTCGATCTCCATCTCCCGCCGGCTCAGCTGCTTGCTGCCCGCAAACCTCTGCGGCAGCGCCAGGATGCGGCGCCGCTCCTCCAGCTTCTCCTGGATGGCATCCAGCCGCTCCTGCGTGGCCTCCGGGGCTGCCCCCAGCCCCGAGCCCTGCAAAACAAGCACGGGTCAGCTCAGCAACAGCACGGGCCTCCTCCTCAGGGCCAGCCACACAGCACAGCCCCGAGCCCTGCAAAACAAGCACGGCTCGGCTCAGCAGCTGTGGTATTTCCTGAGACCCCTGTCGTTGGAAGGAGTGAATGAATCTGACTCCATGTTCTTTGCTAATATATTTATGATCTATATTATATAATACTATATTAAACTATACTAAACTACACTAAAGAATAGAGAAAGGATACTTACAGAAGGCTAAAAGATACTAATGAAAACTCGTGACTCCCCAGAGCTCTGACACAGCCTGGCTGTGATTGGCCATTAAGTAAAAGCAATTCACCTGTTGGATAAACAATCTCCAACCACATTCCAAAGCAGCAAAACACAGGAGAAGCAAATGAGATAATATTGTTTTCCTTTTTCTCTGAGGCTTCTCAGCTTCCCAGGAGAGGAATCCTGGGCAAAGAGATTTTTCAGAAAATAATATAGTGGCAAGCAAGAGCATGGGCCTCCTCCTCAGAGCCAGCCAAAGGCACAGCCCCAGCCCTGCCGTGGGTGTGTGGTGGCAGCTCCCTGGTCAGAGAGAGAGAAGCTGGATAGGTTTTCCCAGTAAGAGGAATAGCAAATTTGTCTTTACAAAGAAGCTGTGGGTCTGCTGGTAGATAAAACTAGCACTGGGAGGTAACAGAAACAATGGCACTGATTGATGAATGGAAAAAGATATTTGCTTTTACAAATAAACTTTAGGTGTGCTGATAAATGAAATTAGACACTGAAAGATGAAAGAAACAATGGGGAAGAAAAACCCCTAAATTCTGTAAGAATTAAAAATTAAAAGGGAGGGTTATACATTAGAGGGAATTCTTCGGTATCAGGTGTATCAGGAAGTCTGTACCTCTCAAGTACCTCAGCCAATGGGGAAAGAGAGAAGGGAAATGTGGCTGGGAAATTGGGATAAAAAGGAGGCTGTGTCCTCCAAAAAAAAATTGGAGATATCCCAGGGAAATGCCCCATGGCCTCTCCCTTTTTTTGAATAAAGTCAAAAAGGACTCCTCTGTCTCCTTTTTGGACATAAACCTTTGATGTTTGTGGATTAATTTTCCTGACCCTTACAGTGACATGGGTGCAATTAGGAACCATCACCCAGGGCACTAAGAGGTCCTGTTACTGCAAGGGTAGGACAAATACAACCACACAGCAAGCTCAGTTCTCGAGGGGAGCGGAGGAACAGCTCCTTTGCATGACCTGTCTGTGCTGCTTCCCTCTCCCTGGCCTGTCTCCCTCTGTCCTGCTGCCTGTGACAGCTACAGCTGTCACCACAGGCACCGTCAGTGACTGCACAGCCATCCCCTGGCAGCTCTTCGCCGCACCTACAGCATCCCCGAGCTCAGTTTCCACCAAGCTCTTAGTCTGTGACCCTGAGAACCTTATTTGCTGAAAAGTGGATCCCCAGCTGCTTGGTGGCACCCGAGGGGAGGTTTATGCTGAGGACTAAACCCCAACCAGCATCACTGAGCCAGCTTCCAGAAACCACAGAGGAACTGCAGCACAGCCCTCACAGCTCAGCCGAGAGCAAGCAGCATCCCTGGGCAAGCAAACCTCACTGCACGAGCCACTTCATGCTGCCCAGGCACAGAGACACACCCAGCTGCTCAAAGGGCACTCCTGCTCCCCCGTCCACTCGATCAGAACACGCTTTGATGGGGCTGTGGGAGCATTTTCTGTTCTCAAACTCAGTTTGAGAATTACTGTGGCAGATCCTTCTGCCTCGGGCAAGAAACCAGGCTTTCTCCCTGCACTGAGCACAACCTAACAGAGTTTCCCATGGTACCTCTGCCCCACATCTGCACAGCTTCTTCCATTCACCATTTCACAGCTTCCCCGAGGCACAAAAGGCTGTTTATACGGAAAACCAATTCCCGGAAATCATTTGTTGTACTTTGTTTTCAAAAAAGCTGCCACTTAGCTGCTGAAAATAACAGAAATCTGCACTCGGTACTTTGCCAAGAGCTCCCCAGGCAATCTGAAGTTCTCTCTGTCTCAGGTGACATTATTCATCACTCATGGTGGAATCTTTCACTCAGGGCCTCCACCTCCAAAGCTGCATATCACTACCTGACTTAGGCTTTCTCCCTAAGTATTCTCCTCTCAGAACCTGTAGAAGACATACCCTGATGTCACCCTTTTTTTTCCTGCCAGAGGAGTGTTTTCCATACAAATAATTTTTTTCTGAACATCCCAGAATACATTTCATACTAAATATAACAGCTGGTACTGACAGCATTGATTTTCATTCTTAAATTAACACCACTCCTCTCTGCACCAAGCTTTAATCAGGCCACACCAGGGCTGGATTTGCATTTAAACACCAAAGCAAGTAATGACTTCAGCTGAAAAGAGGCAAGCCCCTGATTACCAGACAACTCTCTCCTGCACACAGCTATCACTCAGGAAGAGGAGACAAAGGGAAGCCAAGGATCAGCCCAAGTCCTGTTCTTCATCTTCTAGTTTGGCAAATTAAGAGCAAGACGCTCCAGTGCACCTGACACGGGACAACCACAAAAGCCTCTTGTCTCTGGAATGTGAAAAAAAAAGGATGAAGGTGGGGGAAGGGGAAAAACCTGCTGGAAGAGCACCCAAGGAGGAGCCAAGGCACTGCCACCACACACTTGGTCTGACAGCTCTGCACTATTTTCATGTGGCTGTCCCAGGGCCCTTGAAGGACCTGAAAGCCCCTAAGGAGGGCACTTCCTACAAACAGCCATCCCAAATCAGCAATGGGATCCAGGATTCTATCAGGATACTCAAAGGAGGGTGTTGAGGTGCTTTGAAATATCTTCTCCTTCTCTTTTAGCATTTAAATCCTTCATACACAGGTAAAAATAGGTGAAATGATTTGTTTGAGATCAAGGCAGAGGCAGAAATATCCTCACATCCTGCTGTGTTCCAAAGGACCCGCTCCTGCCCCCACCCTATCTGTTAACACTGACCATTCTGCCAAAGAAAAGAGGCCAGAAGAAATGTAGGATAGTGCTGGCCTAAAGGCAAGGGATACAGGAGTGGCCATTCTTTACCAATGACTTACAAAGGACTGGAATTTCCTACCAGAGAGCCACAGGGTTAGAGGAGGCTGACCACCCTCGGGTGAGAGCACAGCATGCCCACCTTCCTTGCTGAATCCCGGTTCTTCCAGAGCAGGATCTCCGAGTCAGAGAGCCCCAGCTCCCGCAGAGAGGAGGTTTCTTTGTCACTCTCCTGCAGGGCCTGGAACTGTGAGAGGCTCAAAGCCCCCGCAGCCTCTTCCCCGAAAGGTTTGTAAAAAGCTGCAGGGGCAAAGCATCTCCGCTTTGACTTGCACCTGTGAGCCAAAGGAACACAACAGCACAAACAGCTCAGCGCGGAAGAACGGGGACAGCAAGGGGCTGGTCTCTCTCAAACCACACCAGATCAGCACTTACTGCTCGATGGAGACACTGGTGTCAAGCTGGTGGTGAAGGAGGCTCTTCAGCTGCCTCTCTCCTTCTGTCTCCAAGTCCTCCAGGAGAAGCTCATCGCTGGACAGGCTGCTGTTCACCCTGGGGCACACAACCACAGCACAGGCACGGGCAGTCAGGCAACACGGGAAACACTGCTTGAAACACATCCCTGCTACAGCTCCTCCACCTCCTGGGCTGTTTTTATGGGATTTAAAAAAACAAGGAACCAAAACTACTTGACCACAGCTCCCTTTAACATTACTGGGAAAGTCAACAGATTTGGGATTACTTTGAGAACACTGAAGTACCCCAAGGGGTCTTCGGGTGTTTTTGTATTGGTGGGGTGGTTGTTTGTTCACTTTAAAATCGCATGCCATCATTTTTATTGACCGAAATCGTCTTGCATCAGCATCTAGCCAGACACTGCCAGTTTCAAATAAGGGCAGAAAGAAGCGAAACCGCGATGCCGAAGAGAAACTGTGAATTTCCGCAGCGCATTTCCCTTCCCGCGGTCACCCGGAGCAACCAGACCCCAGCCCCAGACCCCAGACCCGGCCCGTCCGCGCTGCAGGCCCCGGCAGCGCCCGCGGGGCGCGGGGAGCCGAGCCGCCCCGGAAGGAGCGCGGAGCGGGGCCGGAGCTGCTGCACGGAGCGCTGCCCTGTCGGGGGGTGAGCCGGGATGGGTGCCAGGCACCCCCAAAGACACCCGCCCCCCTCGGCAGCTGAACGGAGAACACTTAATGCAGGGTTCGTGCTTGAGATACGGACCGGAAGAGATCTCTCTTCAGATGTCGTCACGGGCACAACAGGCTCAACGCAGAGATACGAGTTGAGTTTATCGATAACTAAAGCAGAGCGGGATAATGGGAAGTAAAATTAACCCTTAGAAAGGTCTTCCCCCCCCATCTGTCCTTCCTGCCCCAGCAGCGCAGGGAGACGGGAATGGGGGTCATGGTCAGTTCACAGGGATTCGGGAATGGGGGTCATGGTCAGTTCACAGGGATTCGGGAATGGGGGTCATGGTCAGTTCATAGGGATTCAGGAATGGGGGTCATGGTCAGTCAGAGGGATTCGGGAATGGGGTTCATGGTCAGTTCACAGGGATTCGGGAATGGGGGTCATGGTCAGTTCACAGGGATTCAGGAATGGGGGTCATGGCCAGTTCATCACCTCTGGTTTAGGGTCCCTCCCATGAGAGACAGTTCTCTGTGAACTTGTCTAATGTGAGTCCATCCCACAGGTAACAGCCCCCCTCAAACTGCTGCAGTGTGGGTGACTCTGCCACAGAGTCCTTCCAGAGCAGGCTGCTCCAGCCTGGGCACAGGGCACCTCAGCCACAGGCTCGCAGCCTCCTCCCAGGCATGCCCCTGCTCTGCCCTGGGGCTCCTCCATGGGCTGCAGGGTGGATCTCTGCATCCCCATGGGCTGCAGGGGCACAGCTCCTTCACCATGGTCCTCACCACAGGCTGCAGAGCAATCTCAGCCCTGGTGCCTCTTCCCCTCACTCCTTCTCCACTGACCCAGGTGGCTGCAGAGTTGTTCCCCTCACAGGTTTTCACCCCACTCTTTTCTGGCCACAATTACAACTGAGCCACAAATTAGTTTTTCCTGCTTCTTAAATCTCTTTCACAGAGGCATTACCACCATATCTAACTGGCCCAGCCCTGACCAGCACTCATCCATCTTTTGGAGCCACCAGGGACTGGCTCTGCTGGACATGGTGGAAGCTTCTGGCAGCCTCTCACAGAAGCTACCCCTGCAGCCTCCTCCCAAAACCAGGCAATGCAAAACCACACAGAGCCCTCCAAGGCAGCACTGCTGTTATCTCACCAGTCTGCAGGCACAGCTAAAGCACAAAGAGCACACACTTCATCCAGTTTCTGATGGGAGCAGGTGAAATCCAGTCCAACACCACAAAGGCTGGCTTTGAACAAACAACATTTTATTGTAAAAAAGGAAAAAAAGCCAGGTCGTCATTTCAGTCCTCAGCTCCCAAACACCGCTGTTTTCTGTGGAGGTTTTATGTTCATCCTTTGAACTTGGGAATGTTTCAATCAAAGGTGATCCGAAAGCTGCGCTCCTGCTCCTTGCGGCGACTCTCACAAACCTTGGTCACCTCTTCCACCTTCCTCTGCAGCACAGCTGTGGCAGAAACAAGGGAATAATGTCACAGTCACCCAGAACACAACCCTGCACAGTTTGGCCTGCAGAATGAAAAATATTTTCTTGTTGACAGGCACTCAGATTTGACAGTGGACAAAGCAGGAGAAAAGCACAACCCAAAGCACTGCCAACAAGAAAATTCTTTATTGAATGGCAGAGGAAAAAATGGGTCTCCTTTCTAGGAAAACTTAAAGGAAACAGATAGCTATTTTCACACATATTCTGTAAAGAATTCAGGTGGCACAGGAGCTGTACCAGATTTCCTAAAAAAGGCATGTTTGGAATGTGGAGCTCAGCAGCAGTGTTGTGAAAGAAAACACCTAATCAGACCCCGACCTAAGCCAATAATTCTGTGTGAACATGGAGAGCAGCAGGCCTGCTTTCACACAAGCAGTTACACCAGGTGTGAGCATTTCTCAGCACTGCAGCCAGGCAGTGCACTCGGGCTGCTGAGAGGAGAGCTGCTTTATTCTGCCGTGCCCCCGTGTGGCTGCACCAGTTAAAATCCAAACGGCACAGATTTCCAGAATCCCTCACCAGGAGGCACTCTCCCAGGGAGAAAAGTTCCCTTTCTCTGTCTTTAGGAAGACTCCACTGTCAAATGTTCACTCCTGAGTGCATCTCGCTGTGCACTGGATCTCAGGCTGCTGAGGCTCCGAAATTCCCACATTATTCCTCCAGTTACCCCAGGTGCAGATCAAGGCAGGCTGCTCCATCTTACCTGGATGTGGCTTCCTCTTTTCAGACTGGGAGGGATGATAACACTCAACACACACACACTTCCCCTCACCAATTTTCCTGCACCACAGGCAAACCCCACACTCTTTTAGAAGTTGAAGAATTTAACATTAGTTTGACAGAATGAATAAGGCTTTCAAGTTCTCTGCTTTGTACTGATGCATTTCAAGGAGGGCTTTTTGGATAAAAAATACCAGTTGCCAGGACTAACTTCTGAGCAGAGGCCTCTGATCAGGCACAGCAGGAGAATTCAAGCCCAGAAGGGACAGTGCCACTGAAGGTGAGGAGGAAGATTCCTCAGGCATCTTCAGGAATTCAGGGATGAACAAACACCCACACACACGCTCCTGCTTCCCACTCCCAGTCCCAAAAGGCTGCAGGACAAAGCTCACCTGAATTCTGGTCAATCCACTGCAGGGAATCCATGTGTGCATTCAGAATTTTACAGATCTGCTGAAGCTGAGCAGAGGGAGAAGGTGCAAGTCAGTTGTGAGAGTGCATAAACAGCAAGAGGAGTCCAAGGCAAGTTGCTCCTTGCCCAGCTTCCCTAAGGCAGCAGCCACTTGGGCAGGAAAGTGTGTGCAATAATGCTGCTACTTGGCTTCTCCATAGCAGCAAGAAAGCTGCACAGTTTAGATGATATGCCTGTGGCTTTGGCTTATTTTAATTTCGACCAAGGAACCAGCAGAACATTCATCACCTAAGGCTTAAGTGGCAAAATTCAAAATGAATGTGGAAAAACTCAGTCTTCAACAGTGAAATTTTTACTGAAAAATAGCTTCTAAGTAAAGGCATAAGGAGGATCAAAATCAATTTAGTAGATGTCAGAAGGAGCTGGTTATTCAGATCTTGTTTTATGAGGATATGAAAACAGTATAAAGAAAAAGTTTGAGCGGAGTATCCACATGGGGAGAAATGAAGACTTAGAGCTATTTCAATATCCTTTGCCTCTTCAGCAATATAAAATAAAAGCTTGCACTTACTGGATCACTTGTATCTGCTGGGCCCCCTGATGTGTTCAAGTGATCAATGATGTCCTTCAGATCTTGTGCCATGC